CATGCAAGTCAATGCTTGTCAAGCTGGCAATAGTGCTGGTTTGTGCAGTTCCAGTTTACCCTACAGCTACAGGATTTTACCCTTTACTTCTACTTAAGGAAGCAGTATTTTAATGTCAAGTCAATAATACATATTATTTCCCTTGTTAATTTTTGTGCTTTTCCTTAGAAGTAATTTTTAAATTGGCGTTTTATTTTACTAGTTTATACTATTGGCTTATTATTCTGGAAGAGCCATATGTCAGAAAGATCATGGTAAAACCTTGAGGCCTCGGAGATGTGAGTCATGGGCAGCAAATGAATCTTTTCAAGTGGCACAGATCTGGATTGCAAAATGAAACTCCAAAAATATTGTATTGGTAAAGATACATTGTTTCCATGTCCAGGAGACCACGTTCAGTTGGCCTTCATGAAGTTTGCTGCTTTGCTTCATTGCTTCAAGCTACAAGCTACCTCAACCACACGCCGTTTTAACATGTGTGTAACACAAGCCAAAAATAAATGTAGGTTCCCATTAACAAAACACCTGAAGAAAAAAGGATCGTGCTACCCTTCTTACTCATTTCAAACATAAATCACTTGGCTTTGTAAAGATCATCTTTTGTGCTGATTATAATTTAGCACTTCTTTTCTAGTCTACCACTGCTAAGGTATAGTGCTTACTGGGTCAGTTTAAAACTCCAAAACCAATACACCTTCTTGTCTGCTGTACAAGATGCGGTTGGCATTTAAAGGGTTAACAAGTAGCAACCATTTTGTGTCCAAGACTTGCTACAAAATGGCACCCTCTTTCCTTCTGCTTGTCTATTACACAAACGCCTTTTGCTTGTGAAGGCACACAGGGAGCAGTTCCAAAGGGGACAAAGGAAAAAAATTCTGGAATAGGAGCAGACCAAATCGTTAAAAGGCTGAAAAGAAGCCCATGGATCAGTCTGACACTGAGATGAGGTTGCTTTACTCAACTGCACATAAAATCCCAGACATCCAACTGTTTCAATCTGTACTCTTAATGTCAGACTTTGCTCCATGCTACTCCAAAGGTCCTCTGCTAAACTGTAAACTGATCCCACCTGACTCTGTAGAAATGCCACACTCACACTGCAGCTCTTGCCTGTCAGTACACTTGTATCTCCAAGGTCATAGGCTTAAATCCTGAGATTCATTGTAAAACGCTTCCTTGGATAACAGCTAAATGACTTCGCTGCTGGCTGCACTAGTCTCTGTAAGGTCAAATGCTTGATACTGGTGTATGTCTGAAAATAACTGGTCCGTAGGAATTTTCTGTAATATCCAAAAAAAA